GACTGTTCGTTGGAAACAACACTGCTGATGACAGCGGCTGGCAAACTTAGCGATGACTTGGGCATAAGAGCACACAAGAAAGAAAATACCCTACTGTTCACAAAAACACCACACATGCCAGAACTTTGACCCCTCCCTGCGTTCAGGATGAGCAGCTTTTGCTTCTCTCGCCCTGCTAATAGCATAAACACTTCAGACATGTCCCTGGGACCTCAGGGCCTGGGTGTTCCTCTTCGACCATTGGCCAAAACCTCTGCTTCAGCCAGGCGAGGGGAAAAGTGCTGAGTGCCTCTCCCCAGGCTGCTGACAGCTCTTAATTGCTATTACAGTCACTGGGCCAGTGCTAGTTTCTACAACTGGAGTTTTCCAGTGTTCTGCACCCAGAGCTCAGGCCAGCATGGCAAATGCAAGGTTGGAAATGACTCCCACAGCAACAGTGGCTTGCACATCGGTGCCACTTCCTTTGAAAACCTGGCCCCAATTATAGACACCAAGCTTTCCTATGAACCTGGCCCTTAAATCCTGCTCCTGTTCCCATTGCAATCAGTGGTGACGTCCTGATTGATTTAATGGGGGCAGGCACAGAGACTTAATTAGAAAATTGGTAACTGCAAGGAAAGGAGAGACTGTGCAACAGCCTTCCGGATCTCCAGTAGCAAGCAAGCAAAGGAGCCTGTTGTCCATAAGACAGAGATTTTAGCCTCTCCAAAAATAAAAAAAAGGGGGATAATAAAAGCAAGATGGCCTTGAAGCTGCTCTTAAACATCTTGTATAATATATAATTGCGTTTCAGCTCTTGAGTACTCTACCTTTAAATTCTGTCCCCTGGGAAGAAAACATGAAACATGCTGAAACACACAGCCCTTAACAGCAATCAGTATTTTCAACTTTTCTTTTGTGTTAGGAGGCAATTAAAACTTTGCTTAAAACTCCTTAGTCGTTGACAGGTAGAAAGATGGATCAAATCTAAGATGTGTTTTCCATACTAGTCCAGCTGGGAGCCAATGAGGCATTTTTCACCAGCCCTTGTGTTTTAAGAAAATACAGAGATTCTCAATTCATTACTGTATGAAACATCAAAATATCTGGAGGCTCACAGTCACAACACTCCAGAATTTGTATTTGCGTTGAGAATTATCTGCATTCATGGAGGGCCTGCATAACAGACTTGGGGGCTATTTCTACACTGGTAAATGCATCTACCTGAATGCAGGATCACCAGCACCAGGCCAAGCTGTGCAGAGTTAACCCTAGTGCAGTCTTATCCATAGTGCTTGGGAATTAATTATCTCTTGAGCAAAATATTCCCCTGATGATGTCTGAGCTTGATTTGGACTGAAGTAGATGTTTAATACCTGAAGAGAGCCTGGGTATCAACAAACATGTGCCTAGTTTGGGCAATAAGAGGATCAGGACCTGGAAACATGCGATGAGTTATCTGACAGTGTAGATACACGTTAAGTATTGTAGTCCTCAAGGGGAACAGTTAACTTGGGTATGTTATATTAGGACTAAACACTGCCAGGGTGAAGCCATTTTGTTCTGTGCTCAAATGAGGGAAATGTCAGGAGTTTAACAGATTTGTTGCTCCCTTGATGCTCCTCCTTCCAGCAGGGCAGCCGGGCTATACATATATATCAGTTGCTGACTGCGATAACTATCTGAGATGTTGGCTGCCAATCCATGAGAAGAATTCCTTGTCTAAAGAATCCCTCACATTTAGAGCAGTCTCCTATCGGAGATTAGTGCTAAGCTAGTAGCAACCATGAAAGAAACCAAAAGCTATAACTTTCCAAATTTCCAAAGCTCCAGAATGGATTCTAATTCAGGTAACAAAGTGTATCAACCTATAACTCAGTAGAAAAGGCAACATGCAGCCAAAAATCTTGATGTGGGAGGAAATTTTGCCTGTGAGAGTACTGCGAGGCAGGCCCTTCACAAGCACCAGCCAACTCTTGGCAAAACTATGTCTTACCTTTCTCCTGCACACAACCCATACTGCCTCACCACTGTGATGACTGGGCTAGCAGAGAGCACTCATACAATCTCTACAGTCTAACGCCTCTGGAACAACAATACAAAAGCAAAACATCACAGGGGTGAAATCAGAGAGCAGAAACATCTAGGTGTTAGGACAGTGTGCAACAGCTCGCTTCTGATGTGAAGCTATTCAGACAGACAGAGAGAGATTTCACAGCTGAAATATTTATGCATGGATGTGTCAACACCATGCTGTGATGATTTCTTTCTGGGTGCAAGCTTAGGCCCTCACTATGGAAAAAGCAAGTGTTTCTAAGCAGAAATCTCTCAGCTGGCTGTTCTCAGGGATTGTTGCACTCTGGCAAGAGCATCCTTCCTCAGCGTTTACAAAATCTCCTGAAAATGGTATTTGTTAGAAGGGTATGGCTAACATCACAGTAGCGGTGCTAGAGTATTTATATAAATATCCTCAGAGAATTTTGTATGTGTACCAGGGTGACACTGGTTCCCAACTCTACTTTCAAATGTCTTTCTAACAATCTTGTCTTCTCTGATGTTAGTAAACGTAATGTGCTGTAATTGCCCATTACTGCTTAAACCCCAAAATATTACGAGCTGCTCCCACTGTCTGGCTGCCGTAATATATTCTTGTATTTGACTCACGGACAGCTTCTGCCATGCATACTCACATTGGTTAGTACCTCAGGGCTGCTCCATCCAGAATCTCGCTGATTACAGTCCAAATGGTGTAGTCTGTAAGGAATTCTGTGTATCTGCATGCACTCTGTTTACTTTCAGAGGTCGGCAGACTGCAGGGATGTACCCCACAATTTATGAGAACACAGATTGAAACTACAAACAAACACATCAGAGCCACCATCCAGTTTTGCTTGTACTGAGCCATAGCCTCAGTGCTTAAGAAATCAACAAGATAAACAAAGAAATGACAAGGGAATAAAGCACAACCTGGCTTATCGCATTTACTCACAGAAACTTCCACAGGGTTTTTGTTTTGTTTGGGGTTTGCTAATGTTTTTCAAACTGAAACCATATTTCCTGTAAAGAACACAGCTAATTCTGCGGGGTAAGCAACCGTAGAACATTACTGTTTCCCTAACAGCACACTGAGATGCACCGAGAGTTACAAAGCTCAAGGTGAGACATTCTCTAAGTAGCATAAAAACGTGGGAGAGCACTGCAGTTTTCTGCCTGGATAATCGTAACAGCAGGCATGCCCACATAATTCTCTGGTTTTCCCCTGTTGTGTATTTTCCCTGAGCCAGGGTTCGAGAAGAGTAACCAGGCAGACTTGTACAGGCTGTGAGGGAAAGGGAGAAGCTGAAGAGCCAGCAGGGCAAGGGATCGAAATTAGGAAGAGGGGACATTATCTCAGTCTGCACGCAGGACTTGCACAAGCCTAATATCTGCTCTGTTCACAGTGAGCGTGATTATCTAACATCATTACAGCAGCCTAGGTTGCACAGTTTTGGTTGCTAATTGCATGTTGTAGGTGATGATCATGAAACTCTTTCCGTGTAGCTCACAATTACATACTTGCAGACATCATAGTACATATCTGTAGTTCAGGCTGCCATTCATTTTCCATTATAGAAAATAATGTTCTGCTGCTCACACTATTGCCAAGCTGTTTCCTTCTGGGCCAGAAGTCTCCTTTTTGAGCATCAGAATGAGGGTGAATTAGTTAGCACACTTCAGTCAAGAACTCCTAGCTGTTTCTAAGAACAAAATCAGTTAAAACTGACTCAGGCTGCTGATCTTAAATAAATTAGTTCAACTGTTCTAATAAGAACAAGAATTTTCAGATTCGGTACAAAAGTGTGACTTTTAGCTGGATGATCTCTACAGGGAAGAAAACATTGCTGTGAAAATGTGCCATTTTGCCCTCTGAAAACTCTGATTTCACACACAATACCTAGAACAAGTGGACAGTGCTGAGTTGAAAAGTTTTAACTTCGTGGTGGGAAGTACCTTTTGTGTGAAAGCCTAATGCTTACACAACGTGCTGAGAAAGTGGAAGACTGGAGTACGAGGCCTTTGCCAGAGTGAAGAGATTCAGAAAAAGAAGCATCAGGCTACCACAAAGGGTCAAAAAAAGAATATTCCCATTCCTCCCATACCTCTGCTATCGAAACCAGGTAACTTAAGGTCTTGAAATCTTAGCTAGGGTTCCCAAAGTAGCTTCTCTGCATGTGGCCCTGCACACCACATAAAATACACGGATTTATCTAGCTTGCACACTGAACTTTGTAAGCGCAAAGGTCTTTAATGCGCTTTAAAACATAACTACACCTATAATGACAGTTTCCTTATGGCTAACATGGGCTGTCCAGATGTGCAGCTGCATCCAAGTGATTCTTTTGGGATTCATAGCTCTGACGCACATACCAGAGGAACTGAAAACACATTTTAAATTTCACTCGTCCTACTGCAACAGCCACTTGTGTACCCTTTCCGACTGCTATACTTAACTCCATTAGTAGGAGCCTGGAGTTTCATGGGTTTATTTGTTACATTAAATGCTACTTGGTGTGGGCCGCGGGAAACTGCTTTCACCGGGTAACACGCCGCTCACGGCTGCCGCCAGGTCTTGGCAGAGCCTCCAGCGCGGCAGGGGATAACTGCAGCACTCGCCACGACGGCCGGCTGGCCGGGCACTCCAGTCGGGTAGCCAAAAGCGGCTCCCTCTCCTTGCTGGCTAATAAGAGGGGAAAACGGAAAGGATAAGAAAAAACAACCCACAAACCGCTGTGGGGGAGGAGGGGGGGGCACAACTCCCCCTCACAGACACACACTGCCGCCCCTCGCCCTCCAG